CTTTGAGGCCGCTGTCTTGGGCTTTGAGGCCGCTGTCTTGGGCTTTGAGGCTGCTGTCTTGGGCTTGTTTGGTTTGGGCTTACTGCCTGAAGCAGCGGATCCCTTCCCTGACTTCTTGGGTTCGGCCTTTTTGCCTAGCTTGAAGGAACCGGAGGCCCCGTTCCCCTTAACGTGGACCAGAATCCCCTTCGCCACCAGATTCCTGAGGGCAGTCTTGACCCGGGTGTTGTTCTTCTCCACATTGTATCCGGTTGCATTCAGGTACTTCTTGATGGCAGCCAAAGACATGCCACCCCTCTCCTTGGACTCACCCACAGCTTTGCAGATGAGATCACTGACGGTGGGGCTGGACTTCGGTTTGGATTTGTGTTTAGAAGTCGCCTTCTTGCCTGGTTTGGCCGCAGGGGCGGCGGCTGGAGCTGGAGCCGGAGCCGGAGCTGTCTCTACTTCTGCCATGATCCTGTGACGGTGTCTTCTCCTCACTGAGAGTCTGAGCGGCTCTGAGCAGGCGGAGTCTTTAAGTGCGCGGTGAGAACCGTAGAGACTCAGCTCATCCTGTGTGTCCGTGCAGCCGTGCAGCTTGTGTTTTCTCCGCACCGATAAATCGCTCCTAACGGGCGGTGTGAGCGGAGCTGCGGGCCGACAGAGGAGGGGCTGATAGCGGACAGCTGTCTCTTCATATCCAGGTCATGTGGAGCTCTGGTGCTCTCTGCATTTTGTCCGACGAGCCTCCAAACCTCACCTGCTCCCCGCCGGGACCAGCGCTGCTCGGCGGCTTCTCCGGATCATTTCTCTCCTGAAAAGGTTTAAAACGCGTCACAGTCCCGCTAAAGGACGTTTTCAGCTGGATCACATCTTTGTCCAGAGGCTCAGTGTAAAAACAACCATCTGCTGTGGATGGGTTCGTTATAAACTGAAGTTATTCTGGTGACAGCAAACACACTTTGACTTCCTGTCAGAGCTGCTCCGTGTGCACAGGTGAGGACATGTCCTGTCATCAGGGCTGCGTCTATCAGCTGATCTGCTGTCACTGTGAGAGGCTGCAGGGAAATATAAAATACAATAATACAATAATTCTCACTCATAAAGAGAATATCTGTCTCTTGTCCTTCCTTCCTTCTCCTTCCTCATGACTGCTCTTTGGATCGTCTCATCACATCATCTTGATATTAGACAACATCAGCAGACATGTTCCCCACAATCATCATCACACACCTGCATATGACAAAAATATAAAAGAAAATAAGAAATGAGTCATTATACATATACATATATATTTTAGGAGCTATGAATTATTAGAAGAGTCAGGTTACATGAATATGGGCGGTGACACTAAGTGTGCCTTCCAGTATCCACACTACCAAACTATATATATAGTGTATATATATATATATATATAT